TTCACTGAAGCGTTGAAACCTCAGACCAATTTAAGTTCCTGGTGGTGCATTGCTTAATTGCTTGACTGCTGACCAAAAGGTCAGCAGTTGGAACCCAGTACCCTCTTCATGGGGAGAAAGACGTGGCAATATGCTTCCATAAAGATTCATCTTTGAAAAACCTATGGAACAATAAGACTGTGTTCTATAGGATTGTATGACTTGTAATGTGCTAGGTGGCAAAGAGACCTTCTCCACTTTTAAATGTTATTGAGTTGATTTTCAGATGGTATTATAATCTTCTACTTCGGTAGAGATATTGCCTCGGAAGCCCAGAGAGTGGTCTCTATGAGTCAGAACTGACTCGATGGCAGTGAGTTTTTTTTTTTTTTTAATTATAATCTTTGTTTCTTTCATTAAATATGATCTAGAAGACTCATGAGGAGAAGGATATTCTACTGTATGTACTCATATTTCTGCTCTTTCCATTGTTCTTTCTTCCTTCTGATACTCCAAGTTTCTTTCTTACTCATTTCTTTTCTATTTGAAGAACTTTTTCAGTCAGGCTTAATGAGTAGTTTTGCCCATTGACAGATTCTTTTAGTTTTCCTACATCTGAGAATGCAGTGATTTCTGCTTCACATCTGAAAGGACAGTTTCACTAGATTTTGAATTCTTTCTATTTCTTTTGGTATACATTTCTTTGTGTGACACTGTCTTTCTAATTAAACCTCTACAAATACAAAGACTGGTAGAAGTGGGACTAGTCTAGTGAAGGATGGGTGTGGAACTCAGAAAACTGAAGTTTTGGCCTCCATGTCATTTATCTTCTCAGTATCATTATAAATACTATCATGATACTTTAATTTCCTTTACAAAGCCAAACTTAGAGAACCATAGTAGAAAAATACACTTTTTTTTTAAAGAAAGAGAACATCACAGTATCTAAAGACTTATTTAAATCCTTACTATGCTATTTTATTTTTAACTTAGCAACTATTTAGTTACATGAATTTAAAAAAATTGGCAACACCAGAAGAATAAAACTGTTAGGTATTAATATTTAAATAGTTATTTTTGAATCAAAGGAAAGTATATTTCTGATAATTTTGTACAATATGAAATGTAATTTTTAACTTTCCTGTATTTTAGTTTTAGAATCTGGCACTCTCATCTTCTGAAAATTAAAGATAAAGTGAAAGAAAGAACCTTTTGCAATTTAAATGTAATAGAAGTTTTCATAATGGTTATTAAAACAGAATTTCTTTTTGTTTTTTAGAAATTAATGATGTCTCTATCATTTGTTTCATGGATTGGACTCTCTCGTAAAAGCAGTGATTATCCATGGTTATGGATAGATGGCTCAATTTTCATATGTCTGTAAGTTTTTCTGAATAAAGTTATATAGAAGAAGAAAAAATACAAAAAAAATTTGGATAAGTAATATTAATAAATGTGCCTAAATTGAATTATGAACATGTAGAAAGAAATTTAAAATTCATGACATAAAATTTTAATATAAATAAATATTAGTTAAGAAGGAAGAACTCAGTGTTCATAATTATTACTAATATTTTATGAGAAATGTCACTAACTATTTTTATAATATTCTTCTATTAATGTTGCATAGGAAATGCTATTGTTTGTTGGACTGCCACGCAAAATATAATGGGTTTATGCATTTTTATTCATTACAGGGAAATAGAACCATCAAATGCTGCATATAATTGTGCTATGCTAGTCGAACATGGGCCACAGTCAGACAACTGTGAAACTTCAAAAAAATACATTTGTAAGCATGGATTTTGAGTGGAAACACTGAGCTTGAAATTCTTCAGGTGTGTTTATATTTCATGAAATGAAGGTAACAAGTCTGCAATATTTTTGTTTTGTTTCTTTAATTGTGCTTTGGGTGCAAAGGCTGCAAAAGTTTTATGATCAATTACATTGTTTGTTCAACTGGAAACTCCACATTTGGAACCCTCTTAGACTCTACCCTATTTGCTTCTCTCCTTGACTGATTTTCATCAGTGCCTTTTTTTCTGTAATAAACTGTAACCGTGAGTGTAACAACTTTCAATGTGTTCCACAGGTCTTTATTTTGTTCCATATATTTATATCTCTTTATAAATTTGTAACAGAACAAAAATATCTAAATTACTGTAGTCTTAAAAGAAATCTGAATATTTGGTTGTGTTAATGCTTTTTTAATTCACTGTCAAGAAACTTTGTATATTATTGGCCATTTGCATCTCAGTATAATTTTTAATAGTAGCTTAACAATTTCCAGAGTGAAAACTCTACTGAGGGTTGAGAATTTTGAATTGGTAGGCTGACAACCTCAGTAAATAGCCTCTATAGAGTGAAGAAAAACACTGGCAAGAAATTGTCAAATTAACTATTTCAAGACTCTGAGAATTAAACAAAGGCTTGAAACAGGATGGGTAGTTGCTACTCAAGAAAAATTGCTGAACTTCAGTAAGGAACATAGTGTTCGTAGTATTTTAATATGATCTACACCAAATACCCTTTCTCCAGCCCCCATGAAAACTAGCAGCTATGCACCTAGGGAAGAGGCAGACCAAGTCTGTAGGTCTTAAAATTCCAAAATCAGCAAATTGTCATTATTTTCCCTTTTCACAGCTTTCTGAAAACCCCATTCACAAGATATTGAGACTATTTGGCATAGTTGGAGCTAGGTCTATGGGAAAATAATTTAGTGAAAACAATCAAATGCAGTTGTTTAACATTACAGTTACCTGAAACTGAAATCCCAGTTGAGGCTGAAAGAATATGATCAAAAATTAAAAGGAAGATGTAGAGAAACAAAGGTTAAGAGAGAGATTTGAAAAACCAATGTGTGTGCCCAGGGATATAGAAGGTTGTACCCTTATTCAGCACTATGTATGCCCAGAAAAGATTGGAGAAGGTACCAATCTCTTCTTGTGATGAAAAATCAAGCAATTGCCTTTCTTTTTTTCTAATACATACATAAGCATCAATTTCTCAGAAGACATGCTTTGATGTTATAATTTTATTTTAATTTATCTCAAAATTATGATCACTCATTGTAATTATTCTTCTGACCATACATTATTTAGCAATATATTGTTGTTGTTGTTGTTATGTGCTGTCAAGTTGGACCCAACTCATAGCGACCCCTGCTTGGGTTTCCAAGGCAGTATCACTATGGAAATAGATTGCCCGAACTTCCTTCTGAGGAGTGGCTTGTGGGTTTGAACGGCCATCCTTCTGGTTAGCAGTCAAGTGCTTTAGGCACTATGCTACCAGAGCTCCTAGCAATATATTACTGAATTAAAAATTATACAAGGATTTAAATTTTTTTGTTATTGATGTCTATTTAAGTTATACTCTTGTTAGAGAATTTATAATGATGGAGTTGTTCTGCAACTTTGTTTAAACTGTGCCTGTTGTGAAAAATGAACTGATTTAAACAATTTTTACTTACTTTTAATTAATTTAAATTTAAATCTGAATAACCACATTTCAAGTGATATCTGCTAAGGTGGCCAGTGCTTATTGTATTGGCAGCACATTTTACATATTTTATAATTATAATTCCTAGAATATGAATATACGCTGACCTAAAGGAAAAGTTGTGTATGAATTTCAAAAAAATGTATATTATGTGCATGTATGTAATTTGTGTGTATATGTGTGCCAGTTAATCAACTATATCCTTTTTTATCCTTTCTGATGTATCTGCTTGTTTGATAAGTCTGAAATATTTTCCTACTCTACATAGACAGAGTTGGACTTTTATAATTTTCAAGATACTAGTAGCGTAGTGCCTAAGGCACTTGACTGCTAACCAGAAGGCTGGCAGTTCAAACCCACCAGTCACTTCTCAGAAGGAAGCTTGGGCAATCTACTTCCGCAGTGATACCACCTTGGAAACCCAAGTAGGGGTCACTATGAGTCGGGTCCAACTCAATGGTATATAACAATGCCTATAAAAATACAAGAATTAGTCATAATTCAAGGGTAAATAAATATTATAATGAACACTTTATTTAATTTTTTCCATTTCTAGCATGGTGATAAGGTGAGATATTGTTAATGTTTTATCTTTCTAAAATATATTTGTTTTAGCAGATGATATTTGAAGACTCAAAATTTATTTTTCAAAACTAGAGCAGATGAATCAAGAAGTTAACTTTGTAAATAATTGTTTTAGTGCCAATAACAAACAATTAGGTTGAAAATATAGTCATAAAGTGTCAAATATAATTAAATAGTTTTTCATAGTACTGTTATAATTTGTAGAACTTTTTTTTATAATAAGAGAAATGACCTAATAAGGGTACATAAAAAGAAGAATGCAATATCCTTAATAGAAATGTAGGACAAAAGCATGATTTAGATATCTAAGATAGTCTTAACATGGCTCAAGTTTTAATAGTTAGTAATGAAATTGAAACAAATTTACTTCATGGGTTGTCAAGCCTTCTAGCCCTTGAAATCATTAAAATTAAGAACATTTTCTCATAAGCACTTGAAAATATATATGACAATGTATGTTGTTGTTGTTATGTGCCGTCGAGTCGGTCCCGACTCATAGCGACCCCTCCTTGGGTTTCCGAGGCAGTATCACTACGGAAGTAGGATTGCCCAGCCTTCCTTCCGAGGAGTGGCTGGTGGGTTTGAACCGCCAGCCGTCTGGTTAGCAGGCAAGTGTCTTAGCCACTATGCTACCAGAGCTCCTTGACAATGTATAGAACACATTTAAAGATTTTGCTCCTTCTTAATAAGAGCTCAACATAACCTATGTTCTGAAGGTATGTGATGACATAAGCTGACTTCAGAATAGTCCAAGTGTTATAATTCCTGTTCAAACTTTGACTATTGATGAGCCATCTATTTTTCCTATTCTTTATCACTCTGAGCACTCACAGGACAGTCTAGGAAGAACACAGTTATATTTGTTTTTATCCTGGATTCACATCTTTAGATTTTCCTTTTTATTCACCAGCTTTGGCAGGCCTTTTTTAGGAGAGTAACCAGGTTCCCTCACTAAAGGATGCACAGCTTTCTGGCCAACAGAACATGTATGTCACTGCTCTGCTGTTTCTCTTCTTGTCCAAATTACTCAGTGGAAGAATATTAATTTACATATGAAACTTACACAAGAAGTTGAAAATTTGAACACCTCTGTAATGAGTAAAAAGAGTGAAATAATAATTTACAAAACTTCTACTTCCCACAAATAAAACCCTAGACCTAATGGTTTCACTGCTGAGTACAAAAAGAGTGCCATTCCTCACAAACACTTTTTTTTATGAAAATTCCTTTGAAATTGTGAGCATTCCTTATGATCAGCTTTTTCTCCATGCTTTTTTTAGAAATGTATTACTGAAGTAAGCACTATATAAGGATTTTCAAATTTTAAAAATTGATATCTACTTTAGGTAATATGTAGCTATAGAATTTGTCATGAAGCTGGAAATGTTCTGCCTCTAGGGTGGTGGTTGTTATTCTTGTTAGGTGCTGTGGGATCATCTCTGACTTATAACGACCCTATGGACAGCAGAGGAAAACACTGCCTGGTCCTGTGCCAACCTCACCATCCTTACTATACCTAAGCACATCATTTTCAGCCACTGTGTCAATCTATCTCCTTGAGATCTTACCCCTTTTCAGTGACCCTCAACATTACCAAGCATGTTATCCTTCTCCAGGGAATGGTTCCTTCTGACAACATGACCAAAGTAGGTGAGATGAGGTCTGGCCATTCTTGATTCCAAGGAGCATTCCGGCAGCACTTCCTCTAGGACATATTTATTAGTCCTTTCTGCAGTCCATGGTAATCTAAGCATTCTTCTCCAACACCGCAACACAAAATCATCAACTCTTCTTTGTTCTTCCTTTTTCATTGTCCAGCTCTCACATGCATAAGAGACAATTGAAAATACCACAGCTTAGGTTAGGGGCACCTTAGTCTTCAAAAAGATATCTTTGCTCTTTGTCACTTGAAAGATGTCTTTTGCAGCAGATTTGGTCAATGTGATACGTTGTCTGATGTCTTGACTATTGCTTCCATTGGTGTGAATTGTAGAACCAAGTAATATTAAGTCCTTGACAACTTCAATCTTTTCTCCAT